TACAATATTGTGACTTTTCATTATTCTTAGGGAGTTACTATATTCACTTGTACATGTATAAATAGTAGTCATTGCCTAATAAAAGTGATGGATAATATGATATTCTCTCTACATCTTCCACTTTTCTTCTTCCTTTCCTCTATTTTACAACATAAAGGATATTGTTTTTTAATAAAAAAGTTTCTTTGGTATGGGAGACCAAAGAAATATGATTTAAGAATTTGGAAAGATTAGTAGGGGTAAATGGGTAATTTCACAAGCAAAAGCTTACCTGAAATTTTTTGACCGGTTATGTTGTCCTCCTATACGAATTGAAGGATACAACTATTGAACTATACTTCTATACAAGTAAATAGCAATGGTACAATGTTTTGCAAAATACTAATGGTTTTACTTAATACTTTCCTTGCACTTATTTTTTCTTAAAAATCTATAATGCAGTTTTAAATCATTTGGTGATTTAAGGATCTAGTACTAATTGATTTTTTTTTTCCCATTATCAATCATGAAGTCAATGCAAACTGCATTTGTCTATCTTGAGCAAGATTTACTCTAAATGATTGCTGACAAAAATATTAGCATATACCGTATACAATTTTAGTAATATTTCGTAATTGTATTTGTGTATCTTTCTTTATAAAAAAATTAATACTTAAAAATGCATAATATATAACTAAATTCAAGTTTCAACCAGCAAATTTTGTGTGTGGCCAGCCACAGAATGTGGCCACGTGTGGTTATAAGGTAACCCTTATTCATTAGTATGATTTGAGTAAGAGTAACCACAAATTTATAAGAGTAACATCAATTAATCAAAAAGAAAGCAACCCCATTTGTTCATTTGAGGAACCCTTCTTTAGATTTTAATTATTAAAAGACTAGCTTCACATGTTTATAAGAGTAACCTCTTTTTACAGCTCGAAGATTTAATCATCTGTTTAGGGATTGTAATATTGCAAGAGCAGTATGGAGGGGTGGCAGTTTGAGCATCCACTCAGAAGTACATGGACACCTTTCTCTCTCAAATTGGATCCAAGATTATATCTAACTTTTCATTAGTCATGACGGGATTTCGAGTCCCAGCATTAGCACCTTCGTTGGTACTCTTTGGGGTGTTTGGTTATTCAGGAACAAAAGGGTGTTCAATCTTGATACACCTATTACAAAATCAATTGGAGTGCATATTTTGGATATCCTACAATCTTATACTATCTTTATGGATGAGGACGCCGCTATGGAAACCTCTTTCTTTTCTACTATTCATGTTGGTTTGGCCCCACCAAGGTTTCATATAGCTCATTTAGGGAAAAATCTTACAAGCTCGAACTTGGTTCAGATTCAAATCGACAGAGCGTGGTTCAAAGACACAAGACAAGCAGGAATGGGTTGGTGTCTCGATAATACAGATCCTCTCGATGAGAGGATTATTGGAGGGAGTAATTTTGGGTTCTGCACATCATCTCTTCATTCGGAAGCCTTAGCTTGTTTGTATGGCTTACAATGGGCTTCTAATTCTAACATCCAGTCGCCTATAATATTTACGGATTCTTATAATCTTGTCACTCTACTACGAGGCGATGTGCGTGGAGATATCAGTTATCTATGGTTGGTGCAACAGATACAACTTTTAGGGGCCACCTTTCAACACTGCAGTATTTACATGGCAGATAGATAACGTGTTTAAATTGTAGGAGAGGTTGCCGTCCATTTAATTTTCTTTTTATAGTAGAGTAGTAGTGTTATTTATTTCTTTTAAACTTTGTCAAAAAAAAAAAATTGCATTGCAATAACCCTTTTATTTATCAAGGTAACCCATCATGCAATTTGATCAGTGACGTAACCCTTGTAACCTCGTTATTCAATTAATAATTAAATGTAAAGAGGCCACAACATCAACTAATGGTGTGAATGATCACATATAAGAATTTGTGAAATCCAAAATAATAGAGGAACTAAAGTAATGTAATTTTATCGCCTTGGTTTGTCACGAGAACATATATTCTAAACTTATACTTCGATCTCTTCGTTTATTTAAATGACACTTTGACTTTAACATTTTTGTATACACTAACATTGAATTGATTTTTTTCCACTACTCCGTAATATATTACTCTATTTGATCCTACATGTTCTTTCTGTTTAGACTTAAAACTCTATTCACAAATTAAGAAAATATTTTAAACTCTTTCCAGCATATTATATAAAACATGATCAAGGGAGTATTATACAATTAATCAATTACATATATTAATGATTAAAATGTGTCTTATCTGCCGATCAAATTACATTAAAATATTCCTTTAATCCTAGAAAAACTTAATTGTATGGAATTTACTCTATTAAATTATTTCAATTTTCAAACTCAAACTTTACTTATATAATTAATCCAAAATACTACTAAAACAAAATCTCGAGGAAAAGAGGAACCAAAGGGACCACTTTAGGATATAATTTGACAAACCCCAAAAACCAGCTAAGCTATACATATATTTGTTGTAGATGAAGTCAAACCAAACACTTGAAAATTGAGGATAAAAATTACAAATATAGGAGTAAATTATACAATCAAAGTTGAGCAAGGAAGAAATAATGAAGATGGTGGCAAACATACGTAGATTCCATGGACCCCAACACACCTCTCTTTTATACTAATTTTTTCGGAAAATAAATAGGAAAAAGAGAATGATAGAGAACAGCAATAATTCAAAGCACCTCCCACACCTTCTTTTACTCTTTCTTTTTTGGTAACTCTCATTATTATCACCTCCCTTTTATCAATTCTCACATAGCAAACATAGGTTGTGATAGAGAATAACAAACAATTCGAGGTCAAATCAAATAACATTGAGTAACCCCTAACTACCACTAAATTTGTGTCAAAAGGTTAAGCATTATTGAATTTAGAGAACTTTCAATTTTTTGTATTATTAAGGTTTAGTGAAATATTTTCTCAAGATTTAATCAATCACCTCTAAGTTGTTGCAACATCAACGGGGAAATTTTATTCAGGATTGGAGAATATTTTGCGTAGTTATTTATATCCTAGATATATGTCAAAAAAAACTCTATAATAAGTACTTTAAGATACATCAAGCAAAAATTACTGTATTGTTAAAGATTAAGCCTTCTAGTCTTGAGGTTGGGAGTTTAATTCCTAGTAGAGGCACTTTGAAAGTAGGAACTTTCCTTACCCTTTCCTTCCTATTTTTAAAGTGTCTAACTTGCAAACTCGGTCGAAATGACCTGTGAGAAGTTTTAGTTCGATAGGGAAATTTATCTTACTTGTAAAAAAAAGTACTTTAAGACACGAAGTATCTAATTACTAAATGATTAAAACTCTTAAATGGAGATTTAAACAAAGCAATTGGTATTTATTTCTGATATAACACTTCTAAACAATTATCCTGATTTCATATCACCAAATCTAATAATACTAATCCAAAATAATTGACATAGTTTGACTTTTTACATTACTTATTTATAACTTAATGTGATGATAGATTTTTATCCTAGTCTATTAAAAATACATGTTATCATGTATTAAGTAAAATGTTGTTAAATAGGTATTAATATGAAATTTAATTATATCAACTTTTTAATATGGAGTAATTTATATTGTTTATTTTTATAGAGTAATGGTCACTATTGACAAGTGTGTAGATTTGCAAGTGTTTCAATGAATAAAACTATAAATTTTTAAAATGTGAAATGAAATATGTAGTAAAATTAGTCAAAAATGAATTTCTACGAGTATTTATCTTCGTAAAACATTAAGGGTGTATTCAATCCAATTAAAATTTGACTTATTTATACTTATATATTAAAAAGCGTTTCTAAAACAGAATATGTGTCATGTGTCACATTTTTAAGCTCTATAATGCTAATAGCAAGATTTGAACTTGATACCAACAAATACTAAGATACAAGTCTTACCACCTTAGCTATCCATATATTGTGCAAATTTACGAGCTTGCCTCAGTTAATCACAGTGAGAAACAATTTTTGTTTATTACATGGCAATTTTGTAAATATATCAACAATATCATCCAATCGCCATCAACTGTGGAGCCCACATTAATGAAAAAGTTGTTGATTTATTTACGAAAATGTCATGTGATAAACAGTTCTTTTTTGTATTACTGAGAGAAACATGTATTTTCTCCAAATTTCCCCAACCAAATTATAGTTAACTTGGATAAGGTGATTAGTCCTTATAGGATAATTAAACAACTTTAATTTTGAAGTTTGGAATTGTAGTATTGTTTTTCAATTTGATGAAAAATTTGAACTTGAGACCAACAAGTACTAAGATACAAATCTTACCACCTAAGCAATCCATATATTGTGCAAATTTACCCAACCAAATTATAGTTAACTTGGATAAGGTGATTAGTCCTCATAGGATAATTAAACAACTGTAATTTTGAAGTTTGAAAAATTGTAGTTTTGTTTTTCAATTTGATGAATAATACAAATTTTTTGTACAATAATCAATAGTTTAATATCTTTGAATCATACAAAGTAACACACAAATATTGAATATGCATGGTTCTCCTAATACTAATCTTTGTTCAAAATATTAAATTCTCAAGATGATTATCAATACATTATGGGAAAAACAATCAAACGTTATTACAAACTAGCAATTTGGGGCATCGCCCAAGCCGCACACTAGTTTAAAAATTAAACCTACGAGTAACTTAATCTAAATTTTAAAATACAAGTAATTTTGATCTTGAATCTTTAGAAATCTTGTTTTATGCTCATGACCATACAAACCAATAAACCATACAAATTAATCTAGTCACTAATTTCATGACTTGTAATTTGTAATACTACTCCAATTTAAAAATCAAAACAACTTTTAAAAAAATGGCAAATTAAAGATTTGAAAAGCCTGTCACATCATTCTTTTCCTTTTTACTCCAATTATATTATTCTTTTTTTTATTTTTTTTTAGAAAGAATTTAATTTTTCTTTTACCATTAACAATAATAAAAGTAAATTTGTAAAAAATAAAATTATTTTAAAGCCAACACATACACTCTTGTCAAACCTCTTTCCCGCCTGCCATCATCATCCTCCTTCCTCTTCCTCCATCAATGGAACTTCTTCTTCTCCTCTTTACTGCAATTTTCTCTCTCCTCCCAAATTCTTCTTCATCCCTCCAAAACGACACCGCTTCACTCCTCCAATTCCGCCATGAATCTGACCCTCACAACAACCTCCTCTCCAACTGGTCTTCCTCCGACGCTTGCGCCGCCAATTGGGTCGGCGTCAATTGCTCTTCCGATGGCCGAGTTTTCTCTCTCTCTCTTCCTTCCCTCAATCTTCGAGGACCCATTTCTTCTCTCTCCTCCCTCGATCAACTCCGTCTTCTAGACCTTTCCAATAATCGCTTAAATGGGTCCATTTCCCCTCTTTCTAATTGCTCCAATTTGAAGCTTATTTATCTCTCTCATAACGATTTTTCCGGCGAAATTCCGCCGGAATTCGGTGGTTTACAGCGTCTTCTCCGGCTAGATGCGTCCGATAATAACCTACAAGGTCGGTTGCCGGTGGAATTGAAGAATCTCACGCGGTTGCTCACTTTTCGGGCACAAAACAACGCGATTTCTGGGATTATCCCTGATTTTTCGGAAACCCTAACTCAGCTTAAGGAGCTTAATTTATCGAATAATGAACTGTTTGGGAAAGTCCCCAATGGGGTTTTGAAAAAATTTGGGGAAAATAGTTTTCTGGGTAATGCTAAATTATGTGGGTTATCTCCATTACCAACTTGTTCATTTTCTAGTGATGAAGATTCACCTTCTTCTCCTGGTTCAGCTTCCCCTGCTACTGCTCAAACAGTTCCTTCAAACCCCAACTCAAATCCACCTTTTAATGGCGGAAAATCGAAAAAGGGATTAAATCTAAGTAATGGGGGTGCTATTGCCCTTATTGTCACAATTTGTGTTTTGGGTGTGATTGTTTTATCATTTATACTGGCATTTTGTTGTAGGAGATGTTGTTCTTCGACGGAAGATGATTTGGAGGAGCGAGAAATGGGGAAGAGGAGGAGTAGTTATGGTAGTGAGAAGAGGGTTTATGCTAGTAATGGAAGTGCAGGAGGTGTTGGAGGTGGGTTTGAGAGTGATGAGACTAATGGGACAGATAAGAGTAAATTGGTGTTTTTTGATCGAAAGAAGCAATTCGAGCTCGAGGATTTGCTCCGAGCATCGGCTGAGATGCTCGGGAAAGGGAGCCTTGGGACGGTGTATCGGGCCGTGCTCGATGATGGGGCGACCGTGGCTGTGAAGAGGTTGAAGGATGCTAATCCTTGTGCTAGGAAGGAGTTTGAGCAATATATGGATGTGATTGGGAGGTTGAAGCATCCTAATATTGTTAAGCTTAGAGCTTATTATTATGCTAGGGAAGAGAAACTTCTTGTCTATGATTACCTATCTAATGGAAGTTTACATTCCCTTCTTCATGGTATGCTTGCAATTTTATGTGTTGATTTGCTTTTTTTTTTTTTTTTTTTTTGAGGAAAATGTGTTGATTTGCTATTAATAGTATATAATATGCTTGGAAATTGTAGATTTGGAATTGGAACCATAGATTTGGCATTATCTATCTGTTAGATAGTTTATTTATTGGCTGAAGCATCTGAAACTCACATAATGCCAAATCTGAACCACATATTTAATTATACACCAATTTTTATATGACCAACTTGACTGCATTTAGATTTGTTTATTGTGTATGGCCTTGTTTAGATGCATATGAGAGGAAGATTTGAGTTTTTGCATGAATGATAAAGTGTGATCATATTGATTGCTATGTCTGAAAACTCAAGAATGTATTTTTTTTTTCCTTGTAATGACATGCTGAGTTTGTGATGGTGAATTTTACAGGGAACAGGGGACCAGGAAGAATTCCTTTAGACTGGACAACAAGAATCAGTCTAGTACTCGGAGCAGCTCGTGGGCTAGCTCGAATTCACGCAGAATACAGCTCTTCAAAAATTCCTCATGGCAATGTAAAATCATCCAATGTTCTCCTAGATAAGAATGGAGTTGCTTGTATCTCAGACTTTGGCCTTTCACTTCTGTTAAATCCGGCCCATGCTATTGCTAGACTAGGGGGGTACAAGGCACCTGAACAATCTGAAACTAAAAGACTCTCTCAGCAAGCTGATGTCTACAGCTTTGGGGTTCTTTTGCTTGAGGTGCTCACTGCCCGAGCCCCATCTCAATTCCCTTCACCATCCCAACCCATGCATGTAGAGTTCGAGGATGAAGAATCCGTGGATCTACCCAAATGGGTTAGGTCTGTGGTCCGCGATGAGTGGACTGCTGAGGTGTTTGACCCAGAACTCTTAAGGTATAAGAACATTGAAGAGGAGTTGGTGGCAATGCTTCATGTTGCCATGGCTTGTGTGGTTCCACAGCCCGAGAAAAGACCAACTATGATGGAAGTGGCTAAAATGATCGAAGAGATTCGAGTGGAGCAATCTCCCCTTTGTGATGACTATGATGAATCAAGAAATTCTACGTCTCCTTCGCTCCCCACCACCGAGGAGGCCGTGGGTGTATACTGATCAGTAATTATTTAAGGCTATTACTTGTGGCTTTATGCTTAAGCTATGTTTGATTTGTTATTTGATTGTTATTTCCGTAGTCTTGTTGCAAGTGATGTCTATAGTAGGGCTCTTTCAGTGATTTCCATGGTTCTATAATTTAAAATGGTGTGATTTGCCTGTCCCTTGGTGATTACATTTGATTATGTGTCTCTAATAGTCTAATTGTATTTTTAATAATTTATAATCAAAGAAATTGATGCGGAATATGCTTATAGGAAAATTCTAGTTCAAAACTGAAGCAACTAATATCTAAAAGGAAAATTATACATACACTTTTACTATATGTACATAAACTTTGTTATGAGTCAAAAAGAACAAGGTGAATGTATAAATTCATCTAATTGCATATTTGCATTCACTATTGTAACATTTTCTATGACCTACTCTGAATTAACCTAATTTAATAGCAATTGATAATTGAATAAAAATGAACTCTCTTTCTATTTACTGAATTACTGATAGTATTTTACAAAGACATTACTAATTTCTGTAAGTAAAAAAAAAAAAAAAAAAAAAAAAAAAAAAAAAAAAAAAAAAAAAAACTGACTAAAATTCCAAATGGACATTAATTGATCAAAACTATAATCATGTTAATCGTGGGCCAGATATTGTAGCCCAAAAATACTTAGGTCTAATATGAGGTTCCCTGCCATACGGAGTAACCTCCAAAATGTGTGAATAGTAAGGCATCCACTTCAAAACACTCGATAAACATAAAGGCAATTTAAGTTTAATACTAATTTGGAGACTTTGGGGAAATAAAGTTCGTACGTATTTGATCCGGAGAACCGATCTGGAGAAACTAGTATCCCATCTAGCAACAAAGAGGGCTACCGTGTTCCCAAACCCCTAACATGAGAGCAAGAGAAATAAGAAAAGTCACTACACATTTGCAGCACATCATCAAAGAGAAGTAAAATAGGAGCAGCTCCAATCTTCTTGTTCTGGATTGCTTGGACAGCAGCAAGAGCATCACATTCTAAGTTCACTTTCATAAACCCCCAACCTTCTAGCAACCTCCAGTCCTCCATACCAAATCTAGCAGCATAAGCTTCTGCAAGATCAGCCCCCCAACACGCATCCACACGCCTCACAGCAGCAGCAAGCAACTTCCCTCGAGCATCCCGGCATAAGGAGTGGTGCCAGCAGGCTGCAAAACAGCACCCCCCCCCCCAGATACACAAACACACCCTCGCATTATACGTGCAGTAATCATTTGTGCTAATTCATACAATACTATCCCTTTACAGAATTTTACAACTTATCAAAGAAGAGACAACTTCATAATTTAATGAGCAAGGAATAAACATAAAATCACTTATTGCATTACAATGAAATGAAGAGCAATGAGTAATGATAGGAACAATATCAGTAATTAAATTTCTTGATCAATTAATCTAAACAGAGAACTACGAAGTATGTAGGAGAGGAAAACATTACATAAAAAGGATTCATTCATTTTAACAGTTTAAACGAACTCTCACAGAATACTTGCTTGATCGGCTTCCCACCGAATCGTGCTAATCAAATTAAAACCTGTATGAATTCATTTGAAACTATGACAAAATCTAGAAACAAGACTTAATAACCAAATTACCACATAAACAGAGGTAGGTACTAGAACCCGATTTAGTGAATCTACGGGATGGAGGGATGGTTAGTCCCTCCATCGCCCCCCCCCCCCCCAAAGTAATGGGGTTCAATTCCTCATCCCCCCATTCCTGTAATAGGATGCGGGGGTATATAACCAATTACTTCGATTCACATAGAGGGGGAAACAAAGGAACCAACCCATGGCATCACTACATATCCATCCCTGAAATCAGCAGCCAAATCACATACTTGTATTTCAAGCCTCTTAAAACCTCCACTACGCATATCACATTGAACAAAAATCATACCATCTTCGGAATATTGCCCTAAATCCACTAGGATTTCTTGTCCGTCCTCTGAATATGCAAGAAGCAACGGTAAAAAAGGTTTGCGGACTTGGCGTCTAACTATATCAGCAATAATGTCGTCGAGTTTGATGCTGACCAATTTAGACCATGTTTGTTCCACACCATACTCTTTCATGATCCATATCTCCATTTTATGTAAAGATGACCGAATCATACTATATTTTACCAAATGCAAGTAACCCTTTGAATCAGCCAGCTCTGATATAATAACCCCGTCATCATTATCATCATTAGGGAGCGGTAATTTATGATATTCTTCCGTTCCTAGGTCAAAACATGTTATGATTTTTGACATTATAAAACCAGTCGTCATATTGTTACGAGGCTTATAATCTAAATCTATCCAATGCAACACATTATTAGAGAGAATCATACGGTTTGAATAAGTCGACAAAGAAACCATCAAAGGTTTTTGGACGACTTTCCATGAATTGTTCCTCAAGCTATAAACATGAGATTCAACCTGTTTCGGGTGACCATCACAACGCGCAGTATTGACTGTTTCAGTTTGTAAAATCTTATAATCGTCACTCGTGCAATCGTAACCAAATCCCATCCTATATTTAGTACCGAAGGGCGACACACAAACAGTCTTACACGCCTGGATGGCCGGGTTGTAAATCAAAAACCATCCTGTTAACTTGAAACAAAGCAAGCCATTACACGAACCAACAAGTCGAGTATCATAGTCAAAAGAGTGAGATAATCGAATTACCTTCTTGACGTTTTCCGGAGAATGGAAATCAAGGGAGTATAATTTAGCCGAGGAACGACTAAATAAGATAACGGAACCTCTTGAATTTGTGTGGTTATTGACGACATGGAATGTGTGAGACTTGATAAATTTAGGGTTTTTGATCTCGTCACGCCAACGCTTACAAACACATTGGTAACGAAATAGATCTTTAATAGGTAGCCTTGAAAGGATATTAGATTCAATCTCTAATGGAAAACACTTAGAAGTTGGCGTAGGAGGAGAGGTTTCCATTGTTGTTCCGCGAATACATTAGGGAACTATGGAGTGGTGGCAATTGGGGATTTGGGGAAATATGTTAACATTCACCGTCGGTCCCTCGCGAAGTCATGAGAAAGGCTTTTTTATAATAGAATTACTTGTATAAGATATTCATTGAAGTTTATAATTTTTTTATTATTTTTTTTGACAGAATATATATATATATATATATATATATATATATATATATATATATATATATTTTTTTTTTTTTGACGAGTTGACATGATATAATTTATTGGAAAAATTGTCAAAAATAATACAAACTTTGAGCGATCCGCCAGAAACAAATTAATTTAATATCATATCATATTATATATATATATATAACTAATATATAAAGCTTAACTTTTAGCCAAGCCACGAGACAGCGGCACCTGGCGTTTTAACTTTTCGCCAAGTGTCGCGCCACGTAGACAATAATGAATTATTAGTATGACACATAGGATAAAAATGTTAGATAGATTTAGATATATTAGGTAAGATAAAAAAGTTATTTAGTGTTTTATTTTCAATAAAATTTGGATAGATTTTTGGATAAAATTACTGGTTTTGAAATATGGGAACTGGATTACCGTGAATTCAAGGTAGGTCTATTCAAGTGTAAATGGGTCGATAATAATAGGCGCAACGTCATATATGACGACTTCACTCTTGTAGACCTTGGCCACTTGCGGGATAGTTTGGAACTATTCATCCTTGCATCTCAAGCTAAGCAAGTGTTCTATGTAACCGACCCAGCCGATCCAAAATGGTCCATCGTCCTTGCTGGCAAAAGAAGAATTTTAGGGGTTGGAGATGTTGAAGACGACGAAGAATATGATGCGTTTAATGATTCACCCCCTTTCGCTGCCCCTAGACTTGATGTAGCAAATGATGTAGACAATGATACAAATTATATTCGAACAGACCACAATGAGGGAATACTCAAATGAGATACTTTTATTATGAATCATAATAACAATCCTATTGTTAGAAGGATTAGATGTGTATTTGTGATGATAATAAAGAAGTTAGGTAAGTTAGAAGCTCATTTTAGGCTTTTTTTAAAAACTATTTTTGCTCCAATAACCTTGTATTAGCATGAAATCCTTTAAGCATTTTCAACTTATAAAACATGTTATATATATACCAAATATGAGTTGTTAGAAGGATTAGATGTGAACTAGTAATGAAAATAAAGAAGTTGGGAAAGTTAGAACCTCATTTATGCCATTTTGAACTTCTTACGATCCTACAACCTTGTTTTTGCATGAAATCAATTACTTTTAAGCATTTTCAACTAATAAACATCTCAAATACACTACATATGAGTTGTTAAGAGGATTATATGTAAATTTGTTATGAAAACAAAGAAGTTGGGCAAGTGTTCGGCTATTTTGGTGCAGCACCTTTGATTGTCTTTAGTGATGACTAATTATTTGCTTTGCTTGTGATGGTAGGTGTGTATATATCATGGGTAGTGATGAGCACCTTCACTATGATGAGGATATGGATGATGAAGACCGTGGTATTTCTCACTTTGATGACGAGTTGTATGATATGAATAAGGAGACAGATTGGGTGAACCAGAAGACCAAGCTCATGATGAGTTGCAACGTAGGCTTGACGAATATGAGATATCAGCTGAATGTGCACCCCTATTAAGGATAATGTTGTTTCCGAGTTTGTAAGTGATTCACAAGGACAAATTCACACGCAAAGTCAAGTGAAAACCACCAGTGGTGGAGAGGGGGTAAAGGCACCGGTGAAGAGAAAGGGTAGGGGTTCAACAAAAACTTTTAAGAAACTCAGGGTTCCCATGGTTCTTGAGCATGACGAGTTAGGTCAACTTACTGGCCAATGGCGCAGAAAATATTCCACTCACATTGGCATACTTACTTGTAAAATACCCATTATACTTGAGTGGCCCGAGACACCTAAAGGGTTGCTTCACACGTTTTGGGATGATACAATGGTAAGTGGTTTTTATTTGCGTTTTTGGCAAAAAAACGTTTTACATGAATTCGAATGAGGTAAAACCCAAACATACACCTGCCCTTGGCTACTCCAACTAGGGGTGTACACCGGTCCAAAACCGGACCGGACCTGGACCGGACCTGTTTGGACCGGGGACCTGAATTGGGTAATTATGAGGACCGGGGACCGGACCTGAATTAACAGGTTCGGTTCCGGGCCAGACCTGAAAAATCAGGTCCGGTCCGGGTTTGGACCTGAATGGACCTGTTTTGTGTCTTTTTCGTTTTTTTTTTTTAATACAAAACCTGTTGGACCTGCATATGGACCTGCATATGGACCTGTTTTGTGATTTTTAGACCTGTTGCATAATTTAATAATTACATACAAACCAAAATTATCAATTACAAAACTACATAAAGTCTATAAAGTCCCGATTCTCAAACACCAAAAATACAAATGAGTCCACCGAAAATACAAATAAGTCCACGAAAACTCAGTTTCAATTTTTCAGAGTTTGGTTTTCTTCTTTCTTTCTTTTTTTTTTTTTTTTTTTTTTTTTTAATTACGATTTTCCCGGGTTTCAGGTCCGGACCTGAAAACCCCGGGTTTGGACCGGGTCCGGACCGGGACCGGGAACCTGGATTTTTAAGAACCGGGACCGGACTTGAATCAACAGGTCCGGGTCAGGTCCGGTCCGGTTTCAGGTCGGTTCAGGTCCGGTTTCAGGTCCGGGCCAATTTTTGTACACCCCTAACTCCAACTGCCTGATCTGATGGCTGGCCTACTGCAGCTACCTGGGCTGCTGCTGTTGCCTGGGCTATTGCAGATACCTGGGCTTGGGCTGCTGCCTAGGCTACTGCAGTTGCCTAGGCTACTACAGCTGCCTGGGCTGCTTTTTATTATTTTATTTTATTGTGCCCTTGCTTAACGTAGGCGTTTGCCATTAGTACAGAGTGTGTTTAATATTCCTGATGAGCTAGTCAAGAGAAAATCGTTTGAAGATTTTGTACAAGAGAGATTCAAAAACTTCAAAAGTTCCTTGAGAACAAGATGGATCCATAAGAAAAAAAGGAAAAGACCGAAGAAAAATGTGAAACCTACTGGAGGAGAGGAGGAACCTGAGAAGAAATCGTGGGATTGATATCCACAAATAACGGTGAAGGACTGGGAGAAGTTTGTGGAAAAATCAACTACTACTACTGCACTTGTATATAGTTATATATCAATTAGAGTTGTTTAGTAAATTTGGTTCACTACAAATAATGATGCGAACTTTTCTTAATGTGTAGGAAAAAAGTGAACAAGCTACAAGCAATGCTGAGAAGAAAATGTATAGCCATCATATGGGTTATAAGACATTTGCGGAAGGTAGACTAAAGTGGATCAAAGAGGGTCTATACCCCACATCCAAAATATCATCATCTGATAAACCGCTTTCGTCCACGGTCACAACTTTGGTAAGTCGTGCAATTGACTGGTGGTGTGCTATGCATGGGATCGACAAGAAAACCGGAAAGTATGTCATCATGCATCCGGATACAAAAATAGTAGTAGATGCACTTGTAAGCACCCTATGATACTTATGCTAATATTACACCCTTATTATTAAATATTTCCATATAAACTATATCTAACTTAGAACTGGAAACTTTTTGTGTTGTTACAGTTCAAGCATACGTTGTAAGTGGTTGAAGGTAATCTCACTCCAAGCATACACAAAGATCCTTTCACCTTGGCTTTGGGAAAACCATACCACCCTGGGCAAGTTCTTGGTTCGAGAGGGAAACAACTAGGGTGGGAAAAGGTTATGGGTTTAGAATACACTAGCTCAGGAAAAACTAGATCAAGTGTTAATTCTCCACACCGTATGGATGCCAAGGAAAAGGAATCAATTAAGGCAGAGATACGCAAAGAGGTGCAAGAACAATTGCAAAGTCAATTCAATGCCATTTTGAAGCACATGAACTTGCCGAGCTTGTCGTTGCCCTCGATTACCCCAGTGGACTCATGTAGTCACCCAAAAGATGCTGGGGACAATCCACTTGTTGAGAGCGAGGTAATTTCATTACAATCAAATTGCAAAATATGAACTTGGTCAAACGAGGTCTTATGTGGCATAATTATTTTACTATTGCAGATTCCTAGTCCTACGCATGCAGACACAAGGGAGATTGAAAATCCGACATCTAATCCTTTTCCAGCTGTTAAGGTAAACTTCAGCAGCTAATCAAATGTGCTTTTATTAGGCATACGTCGGTTAATTAGTTCGTAACTTATGTCCTAATCAATGTGTAGGAAGAGACGCCTTGTGAGCTTCTTCACCCCAGGGAAAACATGGATGGAGAGTTGAAGTTGATGGGGTATGGTAGCGCACAACCGTTTGATAAGGTCCATTTCAAGTCTAATACTAGTACCCACTATACCTCGATCGGGATTAATTCTATAGTAGTTGGGTTTGAGGACTTACCACTACCGATGCCTAGAGAGGAATATGACTTATTTACGCTGCTTGATGCGAAACGTAGCTTTGTGCAATGGCCACGTGATCGGGTGAGGTTGATAGGAGGGGTAAGTATACACTACTTATCTTGTTTTTAAAACATATCGCAAATATCTTGTAATATGACCATGTGCTTTTATGTTACTAGATTACAAAGGAAAATCAGTCCTCTAAAAGAAAGAAGGTGGAGAAGCCAAAATCCAAGGATGTCTAACCTCGAAAGAACATGGAACAAGGACAAGGGTCGAAGGGTGAACACCTATTGAAGAAGAGTTCGAGAGGTTCTGCAACGAGCTGTACTCCACTAGTAGAAGTCGATGTCCTTCAGTTGCTCTCTAAAGCTTGTACTTTTCTTCAATATCGTGTTAGTGAGTTGCCTAGGGGTAGATCTATTGAAGTGAACTTACCTAAGGCATTGTTCCACTATGATGAGGATGCGATCACATTTATTACAAGAGTGGACGTAAAGGAATTTCTAACCGGTTCCATGCTTAACATTTCCATCATTCAAACTTTCATGAGGTAATTCAATGCCACTATTCCTAATCATATTGTTGTTTCATTTTCGAATGTAAACAATGCAATCAATAATTATTCCCCACATTACTCTCATGAAGGTCACTACAGGAGCACCTTATTGGTGGATGCAAGTTTGAGGCTACAGATGGGTAGTTTTGCCCCGAGCAGACCTCCCTTACCAGATGCTTATGCAACCCTCCTGACGTGGAAGATTACCTTGAGCGCAGTATTAAAGAATCAACGCATGCGGGAGATAAGTTCATATTAGCCCTATGCTTTGAGGAGTATGTCTAAATACGTCATAATTTAGTTGTGTGTTTTTTTTTCAAATTCCGAAAATTCAGTTAACTATTAAGTAGATTTGTGTTTCCAATAACACAATCTACCACTTTGATTCGGCTCGTGAGAATCCACCACGGAAGATGCTAGTGAAGAACCTACTGAATAGGTACATATTGCTTCCTATTGTAGAATGTCCTCACCTAAGTCATTAAGTATTTATGTTTCTAACTTTGAACTTATTTTCCTAAAGTGTTATGAAGAAGCTAAATTGTCGGTCTGTTGCGGGTCCTGCATGGAAATATGCAAAGGTAATGCCTTAATATAGTGATTTGTTAATAAACTTGGCTTCGGTTATGGCTATGCATGATTAGATTACCTTTGTGGCATGACAGTGTGCGCAACAAGACAACGGAGTTGATTGTGCCCTATACGTGATGAGGTTTATGCTTGACATAGTCAATAGTTGCACGGAAGCTCAACACCTTGATGAGGTATGCTTTTATTTTCTTCCATCTATTACTCGCTTCCATTATTGCAGCAAAAAAAACACAAGCACAAAACCTAACCTAGGCAGGTGCAACAACCAAGGCAGCTGCCCAGACAAGTGCAGTAGCCAAGGCAGCTACCCAGGCAGGTGCAACAGCACAGGCAGCTACCAGCCCAGGCAGCAGCCAAGGCAGCTAACGAGGTAGGTGCAGCAGCACAGGCCGCTGCAGCAGCCAAGGCAGCTGCAACAGCCTAGGTGAATTTTGATGAATTTGGTGAATTTTAGTGAATTATCGTGAATTTGGTGAATTTTGGTGAATTTGGTGCCTAATTGTTTGTGAATTTTATTTTTTTTATTTTTTTTTTACAATAGCAAAGGAGAAAAAGCAAAAACTACAACAAATTAAAAGGGTGCCCAGACATTTTCTAGCAATGCCATTCGCCCTTTGAACCTGATCTCTGTGAACTTTTAAAATCGTGCATCTATCTTTGAAACAATGCCCCCACTTCCCTTAACTTCTTTAACAACCAAGTTATCGAAATCTCCTTGCCCGGATTGTCCTGTAAGTTGTTCAGAAGGGAAATGGAGTCAGATAAGAGAAGAATTCCAATCCTGCCTTTAGCTTGAGCCCATTTCATTGCTTCGAGGCAAGCCCAAGCCTCACATTGGATGACTGACGCAGCTGCTCCGTGCTTTCCGCCCTCCTCGAGGGCATAACCTTGGAGATTAGTCTTCACTACCCAACCAACCCCTGCTCTTATCGTCATCTTATCCCAGGAACCATCGGCTTCCATAATGAAGTCATCATAGCCAATCTTTTCCTTTCCTAGATGTACGTGATTGATATCTGGGGGGATGGTCGGATTATCCCTACTAGTAGCCTCCACCTCATTTGTTGGGCTTCCTTGATGTCTAAAGGTCTCATGGTCTTACATTGCTAGATTTATAAGCTCCATCACTAAACTTGTTGTCCCTGTAGTTCCTTGAAAGCATCTTGCATTCCTAGTTTGCCATAGTCCCCAAAGAGTTGCGATAAACAAAGCACGCCGGTTACTGTGCTTACCATCCTCGCTATTAAAAAGCAGGATATAGTGTTGGATCCATCTTTTCAAAGAATTAGACCCAGGAGAGTCAAGGCAAATAGTTAGGGAGCCCTACTCCCAAACTTCCTTTGCCAGATTGCAGAACCTAAACAGATGTTGGCTATCTTCCAAGTCCACCCCACAGTGATCACACACTACTTCAACTTGGATCCCTCTTCTAGCCATATTCTCCTTGACTGCAATGCCATCATGAAAAAGCCTCCAAAGAAATAACTTCCATTTCGGCTGAATGTCCAACCTCCAGACCAGCTTAACAAATTCCTGGTCTCTTGTCAAGAAAGTGGTTCTTTCTAACCCCAAATCCTTTAAGAGGTAGTAGTAACCCGTTTTGACTGTGTACCTACCCGAGGGATGATACTTCCAGTATAGGAAATCGTCCTCAATTGAATGTGGAAGCTCCATAGACAGAATTGACTTAGCGCTATCTCAGTCGAAACATTCCCTTATCTTCCCTGCATTCCAAGTTCTAGTAACACCATCTATAAAATCACTTACTTTCCAGTTTAAAACAGCTCTCAGAGTTTGGCCTGATTTCACTAATGGGATTTCCCCTTTCACCCAAGGCATACTGATGGCCTTAATACTTTTCCCATTCCCCACCTTCCAAGCAAAGCCATCCTTAAAGGATTGAATGGCTCTTTGAAGACTTGATCTCCCCATTGAAAGTTACCTTTCCTCGTATAAGGACTAGCAATACTACATATGCCGCACGGTTGAAAACCTTTGTGTACTTTCAAAAGTAGAAGCTGTGGGTTGAGGTGCATCCTTGTTTCTTGTTTGAAGAGGAGAGCATCGTTTAGATTCGAACAGCTTCTAATTCCCAATCCTCCCATACTCTTAGGAAGCTGAGTCACACTTTTTCTCACCCAATGCAACCCTTTGTTTCCATTCTTTGACCACCAAAAACGAGTAATCAACGAATCAATCTTAGTTGCAATGCTCTGAGGGAGTTTTAGGCACTTCATGACATGAGCAGACATGCTTACTAGCACCGTGTTGATAAGGATTAACTTTGCCGCTTGAGAGAGGTGTAAGGAAGCCCAAGAGATGATTTTTTCCGATACCTTATCTACCAGGAATTGGAAAGAAGAACTTTTCTTTCCTTGAATGTCAATCAAAGCTCCCAGATGAATCCCCATAATCTCAGTCTCAAGCATAGAAAGGGCTTGTTTCACTGCCAATCTCTTAGAATTGTTAGTACCTGGCGAGAACTTTATTACAGACTTCTGAAGATTTAATTGTTGACCATAAGCTTTGCCAAACCTTTGAAGAATATCAAAGATGCATAGACATGACTCCTCATTTGCCTTGAAAAAGAGCATGGCATCATCTGCAAAGAAGAGATGGGAAATCGAAGGATATCTGCGAGAGACTTTTAACCCTTTGAATTGCTTTATATCCTCTGCCAGACTTAACATTCTAGAAAGAATATCCATGCAAAAAATGAAGAGATGCGGGGAGAGAGGATCCCCCTGTCTTAACCCACACTTAGGAACAAAGTGTTCGGTTGTTTTCCTATTGATGACTGTTTTGAAACTTACCGTCGAGATACACTGTGAGATCATCCTTATCTAGTGGGTAGAAAACCCGTAAACCTGCAAGACTTTTTAGAGAAAGAGCCAATCCACTGTATCATATGCTTTTGACATGTCGATCCTAATAGCTGTGAAATTAGACCCTTTCCTCGAATTTTTCAGGTGCAAGAGCTCATGGCTTAGGAGGATGTTGTCTTCCATAAACCTTTCTGGAATAAAAGCATGCTGGTTGTCCGTGATAAGGCTTGGGAGGATCGGCTTTAGCCTGTCCAAGCAATTAGATATGCACTTATAGATCATGTTGCACAAACTGATCGGTCTAAAGTGACTAGCAAGCTCTGGAACCTTCACCTTTGGGATTAACACTAGCAAAGTTTGGTTCCATTCTTTAAGCATGTTTCCTGTTCTGAGGAACTGCTTTACACTATCCACCACCA